TTCCCTAGGTTAGGTGTATTCAATGCCTCTTTCATATTTAATTGTGTGCGCTTTCATTGAATATTTCATTAGGAATATTGGATGCTTTCATTGTACTTTTCATAATTAATGTTGTGCAATTTCAATAAATATCTCATTCCCTAGGTCAGGTGTATTCAATGCCTCTTTCATATTTAATTGTGTGCGCTTTCATTGAATATTTCATTAGGAATATTGAATGCTTTCATTGTACTTTTCATAATTAATGTTGTGCAATTTCAATAAATATCTCATTCCCTAGGTCAGGTGTATTCAATGCCTCTTTCATATTTAATTGTGTGCGCTTTCATTGAATATTTCATTAGGAATATTGGATGCTTTCATTGTACTTTTCATAATTAATGTTGTGCAATTTCAATAAATATCTCATTCCCTAGGTCAGGTGTATTCAATGCCTCTTTCATATTTAATTGTGTGCGCTTTCATTGAATATTTCATTAGGAATATTGGATGCTTTCATTGTACTTTTCATAATTAATGTTGTGCAATTTCAATAAATATCTCATTCCCTAGGTCAGGTGTATTCAATGCCTCTTTCATATTTAATTGTGTGCGCTTTCATTGAATATTTCATTAGGAATATTGGATGCTTTCATTGTACTTTTCATAATTAATGTTGTGCAATTTCAATAAATATCTCATTCCCTAGGTCAGGTGTATTCATTGCCTCTTTCATATTTAATTGTGTGCGCTTTCATTGAATATTTCATTAGGAATATTGGATGCTTTCATTGTACTTTTCATAATTAATGTTGTGCAATTTCAATAAATATCTCATTCCCTAGGTCAGGTGTATTCAATGCCTCTTTCATATTTAATTGTGTGCGCTTTCATTGAATATTTCATTAGGAATATTGGATGCTTTCATTGTACTTTTCATAATTAATGTTGTGCAATTTCAATAAATATCTCATTCCCTAGGTCAGGTGTATTCAATACCTCTTTCATATTTAATTGTGTGCGCTTTCATTGAATATTTCATTAGGAATATTGGATGCTTTCATTGTACTTTTCATAATTAATGTTGTGCAATTTCAATAAATATCTCATTCCCTAGGTCAGGTGTATTCATTGCCTCTTTCATATTAAATGCTGTGCGCTTTCATTGAATATTTCATTATCAATTCTGGGTGCTTTCATTGTGCATTTCAATAAATATTTCATTAGCTAGGTTATATGTATTCATTGCTTCTTTCATAATTAATGATGTGCACTTTCATTGAATTGTGTACAGCTTTCATTGAATATTTCATTAGGAATATCTCAATGCTTTCATTGTACTTTTCATAATTAATGTTGTGCAATTTCAATAAATATCTCATTCCCTAGGTCAGGTGTATTCATTGCCTCTTTCATATTTAATTG